TGTGTCTGTGCTGTAAATGCAGCTGCCAAAAAGAAGCATGGGAGAAAGCAAACGATCCCATAACCATGATATGAGCTCAGAAATCACAGAGTGCTCTTGTGAAGTTGGATTATTTTTTTCTTATCCGTATATAAAACCAGAGTATTCAATGTGTGGTGTTTTAGAGCAACACAAGTACTTGTACAGGTTGGCACATCCCTAACCAAAGGGATCATTTCCCTAATGGTCAAAATCACATGACAAGTGCCATTTATTAACATTTTAAGTATGTCAAACAAGAAATTGTCAGCTCTCAGTTCCTCACCCTGCTCCTCATTGCTCCCCTGAGACCCGCGCTGCCCTGGTCCTGTGCAGCCCATGGGCCCACAGCTGTCCCCGGTTACTGGTGCAGCCATGGAGGCTGCAGTGGGGCAGGCTCAGGCATCCACTGCCACTGCAGCCTCATGCTGATGCTCCATCACTGCTGGCATGCTCGGGGTGTCTTTAAAGGGTGCAGCTGTGCCCTGGGCTTGGCCCACACCGCAGAGCAGCCCCCAAGGATGCACTGCAGGGCTGGACTGGAGGGGACCCATGTGACCTTGTTGCAAAGGGCCCTGCAACAGGTTGCAAGGGCAATATTTGTCGCTCAACAACAAGAAAAAGGGGGAGATGTGGGAACATTTCTTGAGCAGAATGGACATGACTATATGATGTTGAAATAGTAATTTAGAATAACTACCTTAAGAATTGTGTGAGTTAGGGTGACCACCTTAAGATGACATCAGGGATGAAGAATGAGGAAGTACGGCGATGTGGCAAGCAAACAACCTGGAAGTAAACCAACCAGAAGTGGAAGTAAACCAACCGGAAGCAGGATATGGTGACGTGTGTGTAAGATAGTAACCAATCATGTATTAGCTTAGAAAATATGGACACATATGTAACCAATAGAAATGCTTATGTAGGGTGACTAAGGGATTTTTAGACTATAAAAGCAGAGCTTCTGATAGAATAAAGGTCTTCACTTTATAACTCTTATGGAGTTGTCTGGAGTCCGTTATGTGTCTCTCTCCCTCAAGTGGTGACCCCGACGTGATAACTCTAAGTGGCAAAACTGAGCGGGTGGAACAACCAAGGCGGGAATAAGCCGACTGGGAACTGTGCGTCTGGAACCAACACAGGGGATCAGCAAGTGATCCGGAGGAGAAGCTGCAGCGTTGTGAGAGTATTTGAGGTGCTCCCCAGATCGCACCAGCGATTCCAACAAACAAATCAAACCTCTTACCCCTCACATTTTCATCCTGTGCTCTGTTAAGCAGCCAAATACCAAAGGAGCCAGCATGGTTCACAACCAGCCCCAGCACAGCCCCAGATTTCATCCTGACCCTTCCAGAAAAACTCTGTGAGGGCAAAATCTGCCCTTCTCCCTCCACCTGTGCTCATCTACAGCACAAGCCACAGCTCAGGGTGTGAGCGTGTGCTTGTGAATGGCTCTGGCACAGCCACAGACATTCACTTTGCACAGGTACCTGCACGAAGTGGCTGCAGCAGCACAAACATTCAGCCCTATCCTGTCACAGAGAGCACAGACATACACTGACAACCAGGCCCTGCTGAATTGGCCAGTATTAGTGTTACAATTAATTAATCTGCAATAATTCAAGGAACTACACAGACTGGTACGGGGTTTTTATAGATCCAAGTACCTGTGCAGGTCTGCACACGTACACAGAAAAGGCAAACCTCTGGAGAAGGGTTTTAGCATGAACTGAAATTCTGAACACTTCACATACCAGGTGAGCTCGACTGTAGAGCATGTAAACACCAATTATCTATTATTTACTGTGGTTTTTTATACTGTACAACATTGGAAATGTCTTGGTCCAGTAAACAAGCCACTTCTGATTTTATGGCCATTCCCTGGTTAAGAGACCAATGCTGAATGGTCGAAAGTCAAATATGTGCTTTTACACAAACATTGCACATCTTGCACAGAATAAACATTTCAGCCACAACGGCTCCGCCGCCCGCCCCCCCCACCGCTCCCAGAAAGTTTTCCCCAGGCTAATACGGCAACTTTTCCCCGTCCCTACCGGCAACGCTCGGCAATCTCACGGCCTCCCCCCCCACAAACACAAACACAACCGCCTTTAGTACAGGAGGGAACAAACACGAATTACTTGATCACATCTAAAATTCCTGTCCCATGTATGCTAATATTATGAGACTCACAATAATGACCCACTCAAAATCCTGCCCATTTTGGTCTCATTCCTGATCTGCAAACACCATCATGGGCATCCCGCAGCCAGGAGCGGCTCTCTGGGGCTAAAATCACCAAATTTAACTCAATCCCACATTGGGTTTGAACCCTCTGACTGTTTTAGAGCTCTGTTGCTTTAAAGGAGCTGGACACAGGAACAGCTCAAATCAAATCTCACCTGTGTCTGTTCCCCCTCGAGGGGACACTCACGAGGCCACCAACCCCGACCCTGCTGTACCAAACCCTGGTCACCCCAAACGTCCCATCAGAGTCACGGCATGAACGCGCGCATGTCCCTGTGCACAGCCCCGGCTCCAGAAGAGTCTGGAGCTCAGGAAGATGAATGACACGCAGACACACACCGCCAACACGCAGAAACACACCGCCGACACACAGAATTACCCAACGACGCACAGACATGGATGCAGTCAGACGAGCGCTTCCTGCCCCATGGAAGCACAGGCAGCACATCCACCCTCAGTCCCCTCCAGCCATCTAGCAAGCAGTGCCAGGGTGGAGGGGAGGCTCAGCCAGTCCAGTACTCCTGTGTTTTGGGAAAAACAAGCCTGACAGCTTGAAACCAACCATCCCCACCTTTATTGCCTCCATCCTTCCCAAGAAATGCAGTTCACACTGGCTGATCTCAGTCCTCTGCTGCTCGGGTAAAACATGACAGATGGTTGTGGTTCCGGTGGAGTAAAATAAAGAAGTGAACTTCCCAACTGGCAGAAATCCACAGTGATTTGTGGAAATGTTGCAGGACACAGCTGCAGAAAAAGCTTAGAGGAGAGTTTCATCCCACTCTGGGGCCACATGAAGGGCACAACACCCTATAAAACATTGAGAAAATGTTAGTTTTACAGAAAATACGCTAAACTTCGAGATACAGAGATGCTTCTGTAGCAGATTTCCTACAGGCAGATGCCAGAGTGACCAGAGAAGCTGACACTGCCATGACCTGGAGCCTGTGGTGCTGCTGAGGCTCAGCCGCTGCCACCACAGTGGGCAGAGGAGCAGCAGAGAGGGTGGTGGTTGTGAGGGGACAGCTGAGGGCCTGCAAGCATTGGCACCAGGACCAAAGACATCGTAACAAGATTTCGGGAACAGGGAAGAACACAGAAGCTGTGACTTAAAAAGATTTATCATCCCATGCCCCAGCTGCCACCACCAGATACTTCAGGGAAGTGTAAGAAATGGGACAAGGTGGTAGACCCTCTGCTCCTGGCAGGGACCAGGCTGGGGGTGCAGGGGCAGTGCATAACTGAGCACCACGATGCCCCAAAAAGGGCTAGTCAAAATAAGGACTGGGAGGGCTTCTCACCACTTAAAAAGGTCACAGACAAAGGACAGACTCATCATAAAGAATAAAAAAACAAAACAATTTTAATATGTTACCAACATCAGACACCTGCTGCCCCTTGCTCTGCTGTGTTCTCACAGGGGCCTGACTCCTCCCCTTCATCCTTCTCTCCCATCTGCTCTGTCCCCTCCTGTGGCATGTCCTTGCCCTCCACTGTCCCTGTCCTGAGAGCTGGCCCACACACAGCACCCACCACAATGCCCATCCCTGCAAACTCTCCCTCCTCCATGGCCTCCCCTGCCTCGGACACCTCTGTTGCTGGCTCCCCTGTAGCTCCCTCAGCCTCCACAGCCTCCTCTCTGGCAGGGGCCTGCCCGGTCACCTCAGACACCATGCCATCTGGTCCTCTGCCCAACAGCATCCCTGCCCCTGCTGGCTCCTCTCCCCATGCTGCCTCGCTGTCCATCCCCTCCATCACAATCTTCTTCTCCTCGGCTACCCCTCTGTGCCCGGCTCCATTCCCTTCTCTGTCCCCTTTCCTTCCCCATCTCCTCCTGCCATGGCTCTCTCCTCAAGTGCAGATTCCTCCACCACAAGCTGTCCCTCTGCCCACACCACAGCCATGGTGTCCTCCTCGACCAGCATATCTCCTGCCTGTGCCATTTCTGCCTCGGCCTCATCAGTGTGGGCATCTCCTCTCTCAGCAACAAAATCTTCCTTCTCCAGTGCTGGTGTCTCCTCTTCCATCAGCCCTTCTCCTGCCGCTTGTTCTGCCACCTTCTGCACGTCAACTGTTCCTTCTGCCAGGAAAGCTCCATCTGGTGCTATTAAGAAATAAGCAAAACATTAGTTTTATTGACAGCTGGGTTAGTCTTAAGGCTGGTTGTTGTTATTAAAGACACCATCTCTCCCTTGCAATGACGGGACATCAGCGTGGCGACAAGCAGAAGACTTGCTGCGCTGCTTCTCATCACACACCTGTGCTCTGTGCTTCTCTGGCATCTGGCTCAACAAATTCAAGCAGAGATGTCAGAGCGTGCCCAGCCTTCAAGTCTGACAGCTCTGCCTGCCCTGCCCCTCCCTCACCGCCTGCTGCGGAGCTCGGTGTGCATGAAATAGCTGGGATCTTGACAGCAACATCCAGATATTCAGACAGAGGTGGTAAATTGCTCACGTAAAATACACACACCCAAGAAGAAGAATACTCAGCGTTCATGTGAGCGGGTAATTGCTTCCCATGGGTTCTGTAATTACACCAGGGGAGCAACCCAGGGGGGATTCCTCCCCCCAGACACTGCCCTCACCAAAGTCCATGCTCGCATAGCTGTCCCTGGGCAGGTCCCTGCTACCCAACTGGGGGTTGTACAAACCTGGAAGGTTCCCATTCTTTAGAGAACAAGAAAATTAAACCCAGGAATGAAAAACCCTGCATTTTGCAATACAAGAAATCATGCCTTCATCCAAGATGCATCTTGCACCAGATCTGTTGCTTATGTTTACTACTAGCTCTCTGTCCCTTTAAAATAATTCTTCTTTTGTACATACATACATACGTACGTACATACATACGTGTGTGTATATATATATCTATATAGATAGATATATATATACATACACCAATCAGTTATCAATCACTATCACAGTGCTCACAATGAAAATTTCTCCTGAATCCAGGAGAGCTCAGGCCCACTATCAAGAGTAGTAAATGAAATAATTTAAAACATCTCTAATGGAAGTTTAGGTACAAAAAGAAACATTCTTGGAGGGAACCCAGACCAAGCTCAATTTTCCTCACTGTTATTTCCATAGCAGCTACTAAGAAAGGGATGAGGTTGGGAGACAAAGGGGGTCCTTCATGGAGACCCAAGCCATGATCAGCCTCAGCCCTCCTCTGCCACCCTCTCCCCATGCAAGCAGACCCTCCCTCCCTGTCCTGATAGCACATTGCCCAGGGAGCAAAGAGAAACCTTCGCTACGCGAAGCAAAGAGAAACTCAGCAAATTCGGCTTTCCACAGCTATTTCCTTGACTGGCAGTCAGTTTTCTCATGGCCTGGGATCACTATAACTGCCAAAAAAGCAGTAAGTAGACAGGACCGCAGAAGCCAGCTAGTGACCACCTAATTTTATACCAAGTTAGGAAAGAGAACAGCACAAGGAGCATTGGATAGCCTGGAAGGGAAAATGAAGGCGCAAACATTTCCATAAAGATGGGTAAGATTTAATCCATGTCCCTGACCAATGGCCACCTCACCTTCACTGGCATTAGGCTCTGAACTGGCTGCACTTTCTTCTCCCTCACCTGCATGGGAATTGCTGGGTTCAGGTTCACCTTCCGCTTCAAGTTCATGTTCAGGTTCACATCCCAGTTCCGGTTCTGGTTCTGGTTCAGGTTCACATCCACGTTCATGTTCAGGTTCAAGTTCACGTTCCGGTTCAGATTGCGGTTCCGATTCAGGCTCACGTTCTGGTTTCGGTTCCGGTTCCGCTTCACGTCCCGGTTCCAGTTCTGCTTCATGTCCCAGTTCTGGTGCTGGTTCTGGTTCTGGTTCCGGTTCAGGTTCACATTCACGTTCACGTTCAGGTTCACGTTCCGGTTCAGATTGCCCTTCCAGTTCAGGTTCATGTTCCGGTTCTCATTCTGGTTCCGGTTAAGGCTCACGTTCCGGTTCCGGTTCTCGTTCCAGTTCTGGTTCACGTTCTGGTTCTGGTTCCGGTTCAGGTTCATGTTCCGGTTCCAGTTCTGGTTCATGTTCCAGTTCAGGTTCACGTCCTGGTTGCAGTTCACATCCTGGTTCCGGTTCACATCCTGGTTCCGGTTCTGGTTCTGGTTCCGGTTCTGGTTCACATCTACGTTCACGTTCAGGTTCACGTTCACATTCTGGTTCAGACTGTGGTTCCAGTTCAGGTTCAGGATCTGGTTCTGGTTCTGGCTCACGTTCCGGTTCCAGTTCTCATTCCAGTGTACGTTCACATTCCGGTTCTGGTTCAGGTTCACGTTCCGGTTCTGGTTCCGGTTCACGTTCCGGTTCTGGTTCCGGTTCATGTTCCGGTTCTGGTTCTGGTTCTGGTTCTGGTTCTGGTTCCGGTTCAAGTTCACATTCACCTCCACGTTCACGTTCAGGTTCATGTTCACGTTCTGGTTCAGACTGCGGTTCCAGTTCACGTTCACACTCTGGTTCAGGTTCAGCACTCACTTGGTGATTATTTCCCATCACCTTCCTTATTTCCTCCCGCACTGGTTTGCAATCTTCAAAAACTACCACAAAGTCACAAAAGAGGAAACAAGGAAGAGAAACCATTAAAGAGCAAAAGAGGAGTCATCCAGCTGTCTCAGCTTCATTTAAAATTTGAAATGTGAGGGCAGACACAACTGGAGCCATGTAAATCTTCACCAGCAATAATATTTTAAAGTAGATTAAAACCAAATGGAGATGACCATTAAAAACCCAGGAGAAAATTCACACAGGAGCATCCACTGAAACCTTCCACAGCATATTCACAAACAGTGAGACTGTTTTTGTCAGGCAGTCAAAGGGGGCTCAATATACACACAACAACCTTTTACAGACATAAAACTCTTATTTTTCCACGACTACTTTTACAAAAACAAACCAAAAATTTGTGTTAATCTCTGAGCTACAGTTCCAATGATTCCTCAATTCCCCAACCTAACACAAGTGACTGAAGACCTATGCATAACATTTGACAGAAGGGACTTGTCTGTCTATCCAAACAGTGCCCGGGGAAGATGGCAAACACTGCTCCCCACAATCTGCTCTCAGGACCAGTGACATCCCCTGTCACAAAGGGCACGGCAAGGACCAGAGAGCGGGACCCACCCCAGGTGTCTACACACTGACAGACCCTGTCACTGGTAGTCACTTGCCCAGGCCTAGCAATGGCCCCAGAGTACAAATACTTACTTAAATCCCGCTGAATTAATATTGTTAGAAAAAGTATGTGTATCTTTATAAAGATGTGTATTTACGGTATGTTAAAAAAAAAGGTTTCACTTGTAAGTTTAGATTAACACCCGAGTGGCAGTCCCAAATAAAATTTTCAATGATTGTTATCCAAATTAACTACAGCAACACAAAAATAATAAGCCTTTTTCCTAGAAATTTAAAGAAAATTCTCTCTGATTGCTATCCACTTACCATAAACCGTCAAGTTTCCATTAATGAGGTGCCAGGATGTTTTCATCCACTCAGCAGTGGTAGCACCAGGGACGCAGCTGTTGCAGATCAGGCCCCACTTCTGGTCTATGGCGCGTGCCCCTGTTGAGGGGGTCATAATCACAACGAGAAAACTTATCTACACAGTAGCAGATAAGCAGGCACTTCTTTATTGCAGCCCTTGGGAGGCACAGAGGATACCTCCTCTAATTGTGCTTCAAAGTCCATAAATTTTTCACAGCCCATTTATACATCTTTAACAAAGCGAAATTATACAAGCATGCATAAAAACATCTGCCTTTTAATTTGCCCTTTACCTTGATTGGTTCCTCACTACCATGAGGTAGACGTTGAATTATTTCAAAAGCTTACCCCTATATAAATTCATAACTTCAACATGGAGAGAAAAGTAAAGTTATGGCCTACTCCTATGACTGTCTGACAACAGCTATTATCGCTTATGCTACTCTTTAATTCTTATCACAACTATTCTTCTATTGAACATGGTACTTACCTCCTCTAAGTACTTATACAAACACTTATTCTAACTACTTAATGATCAACCTGCTTTAATTACCTTGATTGGTCAAAGTGTTCTTTTAACTCTACAGCTTAAACAAATACCTACCCATTTTAATCAAGCAAAATTTTCTCATCATTGCAACATTACCTACCTCCATATCCAGCTCCTTCACATTTCTTCATGCTCAGAAGAGATCTGCAGGAAAAGCACTGTCTTGGTATTTGCAGTATGACTTTCACATCCCTTCATTCTCCACCAGTAAGAAACTTGATGAAGGTTAAGCCAGCTTGGGTGATATTTGTGAGATACCACGCTGCTACCTTGTAGGTGGGATAAGAAAAATGCCATTAGGGAATCCAGTCAGGTTTAACCTGGCAGCAGCTAAAACACCACGCAGTTCGCTCGCTCGCCCTCCCCGGTGGGATGGGGAGAGAATCGGGAGATTAGAAATAAATGACTATTCATCATGCCTTGTGGTAATACAGTCCATTCATAACGCTTCATTGGGGCCTGATTATTGACAGAGGGTACTGAAAAGGCAAAATGGTGACATCGGAAGCCAAAGGAACTGTGAAAAAACAGTCCTTTAAGTCAATTATATATAAAAGCCAAACTGCCAGAATCAACGCAGGATTTGGAACAACAGGCTGTAACAGTCTCATAGGTTGCATTACAGTACTAATCATTCGTAAATCCTGTAACAATCTCCATTTTCCAGATTTCTTTGGTATCACAAAAATAAGAGTATTCCAGGGACTAGTAGATGGCACAATGTGCCCCAATTGCAATTACTCTGTAACTAATTCTTCTGCCTTGGACAATTTTTCCCCTTTTATGGGCCACTGATCAACCCAAACTGAATTAGTAGTAAGCCACGTCAGTTTGAGTCAGGGCTTTAGATCAGCAACACTTACACTAAATTTGATAAAGTTGTGGTGAGTGTCATATTCCACTGACTTAACAAGTCTCTTCCCCACAGCGTGCAGGGAACTTGCAAAGCGTAAGGTTTCAATACAGCAGTACAATTTTCTGGTCCCTCCACTATTAGTGTTTGTGCACTTTGCAAAGGAACCTGTGTGCCTCCTATACCAGTTACTGCAGCATGCACATGTTCCAGAGGCCGTTCTGATGGCCAGTCTTTTATTCCAATGATGGACACATCAGCACAAGTGTCTAACAATCCTGTAAAAGATCGATCCTTGATGCGGATTGTTAGCAACGGCTGAGCAGTGGAAACTCTCTGAGTCCACCATATCTGTGGGTGTCAGGTGCTACCAAAGCCTCTCTTTCCTCTGGTTTGTGTTATAGGTGCGGGGACTGAATAAGGTATTAAGAGCAATTGAGCTATACCTTGCCCTTTAGGAATTGTACAAGGCAGGTGTGGTGTCCAAGTCATGATTTTTAATTCACCAATGTAATCTGAATCTATTACTCCAGGCAAAACAAAAAGATCCACTTTTGTTGCCAATGAGCAACCAAGAACCAAACCACAAAGCCCTTGAGGCAACGGGCCATATATTCCTGTGCTCAATAATGTTACTGCTGAATCTATGATTGTTGTATTGGTGGCTGTGGCCAAATCCAATCCAGCACTTCCTGCCGTGCTGGCTGTGAGTTCTGTGATGTATTGTTTACTACATGCAGCATCTGATTCTGAGGGATGTGAGGACAACAAACCCTGTTGGATTGCGGGGCACCGGGTTTTGCGCCCCTCTGCCCATTGCCCTAAAGTGGTCGTACCTGCTTATCAAATTTAGAATGACATTGATTACTCCAGTGATACACTTTATTACAATGTGAACACACATCTTTAGGCTGTTTCTTATTAGCACCTGATTGTTTTAAATTCAGACAATCCTTGTTTATATGTCCTTCTTGTGAGCATCCAAAACATCTAATACTGGCTCGTCCCACAGTTGACATTTGTGCTAAAGCAGCCGCAAGTAGGGAAGCCCAATATTCATCTGAACCCACATTGTGGTATGCTTTTCTGAACTCAGTGAGCCTTCTGACAGTCAGCATTAGCATTTGTGTATGCCAGCTGCATCAACACTGCTTCTGCAGCCTGTTCATTTTCAATTTGCCAAGATATCGCTGCTTGTAAGCAGATCTATAAAAGTAACATAAGGCTCTTGAGGACCCTGTCGTACTGGTACAAAAGTCGATTCTTTCCTGCCTGCCTCTGGAACCCTTCGCAATGCTTTAAGGGTTAATTCTGTGGCTTGCTGTAATACCAGTCTAGGCAATTGTGCCTGAGTTTGAGGAGTAGCAAATGCACCCTTCCCCATTAACTCATCTGCCTCATTTGCAAAGTTATTCATTATCTGTACCGTCACTAGATCTTTATATTCAGCACCCCATACCGTGAGCTGAGCAACAGTCAAAATCATTTTTAACAACAGTTTCCAATCATAAGGAGTCATAACATAACTTTCTCCTATAGCCGTTATTAAATTCATGGTGTAATGATTTTGTAATCCATGATCTTTAACTGCATTATGAACCTCTTTTACCATTTCATAAGAAATTTGGGTGTATTTGGGAGGTCGTTGCAGATGATAAAAAACCAGCATTACAGTAAGCATATCAGTGTCCCGTTTTTTCAGAGCCTCTAACTGACAATGTTCCAATGCTGAACATAAATTTTGTGACTTAGAAGGCTGAACCATTTTTTTATCATCTGATAGAACAATTGGGGGGGCATGTATCAACAATTTGGGGTATGGGAGTGCAGAAGGAGTTAAATCATGTTTTTTCTTTGCATTTTCCAGGTCTGGAAAAACACATCACTCAGCACTTACGCCTAC